GTCTCTTCCTCTGTCTCTGTCTCTGCCTCTGCCTCTGTCTCTGTCTCTGCCTCTGTCTCTGTCTCTGCCTCTGCCTCTGTCTCTGCCTCTGTCTCTGTCTCTGCCTCTGTCTCTGCCTCTGTCTCTGTCTCTGCCTCTGTCTCTGCCTCTGTCTCTGTCTCTGTCTCTGCCTCTGTCTCTGTCTCTGCCTCTGTCTCTGTCTCTGCCTCTGTCTCTGTCTCTGCCTCTGTCTCTGTCTCTGTCTCTGTCTCTGCCTCTGTCTCTGTCTCTGCCTCTGTCTCTTCCTCTGTCTCTGTCTCTGTCTCTGTCTCCTCTGTCTCTGTCTCTGCCTCTGCCTCTGTCTCTGTCTCTGCCTCTGTCTCTGCCTCTGTCTCTGCCTCTGTCTCTGCCTCTGTCTCTGCCTCTGCCTCTGTCTCTGTCTCTGCCTCTGCCTCTGTCTCTGCCTCTGCCTCTGCCTCTGTCTCTGCCTCTGTCTCTGCCTCTGTCTATCTCTGCCTCTGTCTCTGCCTCTGTCTCTGCCTCTGTCTCTGCCTCTGTCTCTGTCTCTGCCTCTGTCTCTGTCTCTGTCTCTGTCTCTGCCTCTGCCTCTGTCTCTGCCTCTGTCTCTGTCTCTGTCTCTGTCTCTGCCTCTGTCTCTGCCTCTGTCTCTGTCTCTGCCTCTGTCTCTGCCTCTGCCTCTGTCTCTGTCTCTGCCTCTGTCTCTGCCTCTGTCTCTGTCTCTGTCTCTGTCTCTGTCTCTGTCTCTGCCTCTGTCTCTGTCTCTGTCTCTGCCTCTGTCTCTGCCTCTGTCTCTATCTCTGTCTCTGTCTCTGTCTCTGCCTGTCTCTGCCTCTGCCTCTGTCTCTGCCTCTGTCTCTGCCTCTGTCTCTGCCTCTGTCTCTGCCTCTGTCTCTGTCTCTGTCTCTGCCTCTGTCTCTGCCTCTGTCTCTGTCTCTGTCTCTGCCTCTGTCTCTGCCTCTGTCTCTGCCTCTGTCTCTGCCTCTGCCTCTGTCTCTGTCTCTGCCTCTGTCTCTGTCTCTGTCTCTGTCCCCGTGTCCTACAGTGTGTGTCACCTCAGTGTGTGTCTGTGATGAGTTGTGTACTGACTCATAAACAGCGTCTTTGAAAAGTAAAGACATTTGTCTTTGAAAGTAAAGACATTTGTCACAGAGCGTGAGATCCGTCTTTTTGTCACCGAGAACTCATCAGAGCAGGAGGAGGAGAGACGGACACAACTTTCACTTTGACAAAAACTATATCTGAGTAAATTCATCATTTTCTGCCAAGACCATCACGAGAACATGTTTTGGTATTTTTGGATCTCCAGAGTGTTGTATGTGAATCAGAGCCAGTGTCATTTCAATCTGTGGGAACTTTCTGGAATCACAGCGTCATGATCAGTCTGTCAGAGTTTACTTTAGAGTCGCTCTGAAACAGTTCTTTTGTGTTTCATATTTTGTTGTTGCTTTTTTCTACCTAAGAGGTTGCTGCAGCACTGTGTTCATGGTTTTACACTGGTCCAGACCAGATCAGAGAGGATTCATGGTCCCAAACAAGCGGATCAGGCAAATCCACTTATGCAAACAAACTAGCCATACATCCATCTTCTTCACCTAAATCCATTTCTGGGTCAGGGGGGTGACAGTCAGAGCTGCCCCCAGTACACAGAGCACAGAGCACCCTCACTGATCTTCCTGCAGGTGCTGAGTCCACAGGGGCCTTGATCGTTCAGTGGGGGCTTCAGTCAAAGTGGGGTTAAGTGTCTTGCCCAAGGACACAACGGCAGCAGACATCAGCGGGAGTTATGAAGTACAGTAGGTCTTGTGCTCTACCAACTGAGCCACTGTTTCAGCCACTGACTAAGGGGAAGAACATGGATGTATGGATAGTTTGTTTGCATAAGTGGATTTGCCTGATCCGCTTGTTTGGGACCATGAATCCTCTCTGCTCTGGTTTGGACCAGTGTAAAACCATGAACAGCACGGTGTGAAACCATGGGCGGCTGAGTGGATAGCACTCTCGCTTCTCAGAGAGAAGGGCCTGGGTTCGAATCCCGGTCGGAACAGGGCCTTTCTGAGTGGAGTTTGAATGTTCTCCCTGTGTCTGCATAGGTTTCCTCCGGGTGCTCCGGTTTCCCCTATCACTAAAAACAAATGTTTCATTATTTGTGAGAATATTTACTGTATTCAGACAAGTCTCTGATAAGAAAGTAATTTCTCCACTGTGGGCTCAATAAAGTATACCTTATATTTTCTTATATAGCACACTTTCCCAGATCACGCTAAACCCTTTGAACAACATTTATATAATCCATTGTTAGATTCTGAAAAACATTGAAAATCCTCTATCGCTCCCGACACTCGCTACCTTCGCTCCGGCGTGTCCACGTGTAAGTAGGACACACTCCCAGGACTGTAAATAAGTAATAGACTTTGAAGAGAAAGGTTATCATAAATAGACTGAGCTGTAGCACGGGCCGCTGATGATGGGTGCCATGTTGAAAAGTGCACCCCCACAAGGCCCTGCATGACATGGAGGAGTGCTGAAGGCCTGTCCCCAACCATCACATTACAGCAGCCGCCCAAAAATAATTACAGAGTCCAGTCCAGAGGGAGAGCCGGGTATTAGAGACGCCCTATGTGCATTTTAAAGGTACAATATGGAGGCGCGGAGCCGGTCTGTAGAGCTATATTTACAGAGCGGGAAAGGGACAGAGCGAAACCCAGTATTTGTGGTCGGAAAATGTGTCAAAAAGTTACGCAACGTGTATTGTTATTGGCTGTGACGTTGAAACACTTTGCATGCGAACGGGTAAAGCTGTATGTATCTGGCACTAAATATGTCTGGCTTTTTCTAAAAACGCACATACGGATATTTTTCTATTTTCTATTTCATCTACTCATATTTGGAGCATGTGTGTGTGCGTTTATTTTGGCTCGCACTTTAGTTTAGCTCTTACTAATTAAGTGATAATTACTGTATCGTTTATGGTTAATTTGCTCTAAATTGGTATTTACTAAGCACTTATTAGTCCTTATTTCACAGGGCCTTATTTAACATCTGACTAACTACTAACATACACTTTCCCCCATGGCTTAGGGTTAGGGTTAGGCAGGTCCTTCAGGGGGGTTAGGGTTAGGTTTAAGACTAGGGTTACGCCTAAAATTAGGATTAGGCTTAAGGTTAGGGTTAGGCTTAAAGTTAAGATTAGGTTTAAGGTTAGGGTTAGGCTTAAAGTTAAGATTAGGCTTAAGGTTAGGGTTAGGTTTAAAGTTAAGATTAGGCTTCAAGTTAGGGTTAGGTTTAAAGTTAAGATTAGGCTTCAAGTTAGGGTTAGGTTTAAAGTTAAGATTAGCCTTAAGGTTAGGTTTAAAGTTAAGATTAGGCTTCAAATTAGGGTTAGGCTTAAAGTTAAGGTTAGGCTAAGGGCTAAGGTTAGGATTAAGGCAATGGTTAGGGTTAGGATCAGTGTTGGGTAAGTTACTTTTAAAAAGTAATTAGTTATAGTTACTAGTTACTTCTCCCAAAAAGTAATTGAGTTACTAACTGAGTTACTCCACTATAAAAGTAACTAGTTACCAGTAAAAGTAACTATTGCGTTACTTTTTCGTTTGTCGTGGTACCGAGCTTTAGCTGATTGTAATTTAGGATAACTTCTAAGTAGATTAATTATTGCAACAACGCCACCCTATTTTAGTATTAGTATTGTATGTTAGTATTAGTATTATATGTTAGTATTAGTATTAGTATTATATGTTAGTATTAGTATTATATGTTAGTATCAGTATTAGTATTATATGTTAGCATTAGCATTATATGTTAGCATTAGCATCATATGTTAGCATTAGTATCATATGTTAGTATTAGCATCATATGTTAGCATTAGCATCATATGTTAGCATTAGCATCATATGTTAGCATTAGCATCATATGTTAGCATTAGCATCATATGTTAGCATTAGCATCATATGTTAGTATTAGCATCATATGTTAGTATTAGCATCATATGTTAGTATTAGCATCATATGTTAGTATTAGCATCATATGTTAGCATTAGCATTATATGTTAGCATTAGCATCATATGTTAGTATTAGCATCATATGTTAGCATTAGTATCAT